CGGAACATTTTCACAGTCTCTTTTATTGTCCATGTTAAAAGGTGGGTCGTCTGCTTCAGTAAACAGGGCACCTCACTAATCAGGACAACGGTCATTATTGCAGCCGCTGCAGCACCGTTCTCCTGTACAAACACCCTCCCCCTCCGCTACTAACCTGTACACAGTGCACTAGGCCTTGAGCTTCTCACGCTGTTTGCTCGGCGCTGCTACTGTGGGAGGAGTGGGCTCAGTCGCACATGCGCGGCGTGGGCAGTGTTGGGATTGCAGAAGCGACGCGAGCGGGAAATTGACTTCGCCCGGCACCCGCAGCCTAACCTGAGCCCCTGCAGCCAATTCTTAGTAATTGCTGTAAACATGCCACCACAAAAGGAGTTGTCCTGACATGGGAGAGTGGACTTAATCAAAAACAGTAAAAGTAACCAGTCATAGACAGTTAGCTGTGATCTGTGGCATTGGCTCAACACAAGTTGGAATGAATTCTCAAAAGGAAGGCTGAATACATGACAGCTTTTGAACAAACTCAACAGCCTGATAGAAAACATGCTTGTTTGAACTCTCATTGTAAGGACATTGATAAACTGACATGGGAGTGGTTCCAACATGCCCGTGGTCTCAACATGCCTGTGTCTGGCCCTAGGATACAGAAGAAAGCACTCAGCTTTGCAGCTTCACTTGGCAAGACTGGCTTCAAGGCATCAAATGACTGGCTTGTACATTTCATGTCCAGACACAACATTGGGTCTGCAATTGCGTGTGGTGAAAAGTGTGAAGTTAAGTCTGCTATTGTTGACAACTGGAAGGAGAAACTAACTGAGATTACAGCTGGCTATGCACCCAAGGACATCTTTAACATGGATGAATCTGGTTGTTTTCAGGGCTCTCCCTGACAGGAGCCTTTCAGTTTGTGGTGATAGCTGCACTGGTGGGAAGAAATCCAAAGACTGCATCACCATGTCTTTGACAGTCAACACAGAGGGAGATTTTGAACAGACAGCTGTGATAGGATAGGCTGCCACGCTCCATGCCTTTAGGAATTTAAACATCAAGACTCAGCTTCCCATCTCGTGGTACAGCAACAAAAAGTTATGGATGGCCAGTACCATTTTTATGGAGTGGCTTCAGAACTTCAATAGAAAGATGCGGGCACAAAGCAGGCATGTGCTGCTGTTTCTGAACAATGTCCTAGCTCACCCTCACAGCATTTCTACAATGTCAAGTTAGTGTTATTTCCCAGCTAACACCATATCCATTCTCCAGCCCCTACATCCAGGGCATCACCAAGAATGTCAAGATGCACTACAGGAGGAGTCTTCTACCCATGGTCCTAGGAGAGATGGCCAAAGGTGTACGGGCTTCACAAGTCGCCAAATCCATCAACGTTCTTTATGCAGTCACCTGGATTCATTCAGCATGGTGCGTAGATCAACAGTGCAGAAGTGCTTTGCCAAGGCTGGCTTTAGTGGGATCCGTTACTGTAAAGTGCTCTGAGATGCCACCCAGCGTGGAGGGCACTATATATATCCAAGTTGTTGTTGTTAGTGTGGATGAGCCTATGGAAGAGGACCCTGATGATAATGTGCCACTTGCCCAGTTGTTGTCTCAGGCCAGTCAGTGCCCGTCAATGGATACCCCTATCCTCAGTGCCGAGGAATATGCAGCCAGTGACAGTGATGTGCCCTCCACTGAGGACTTCAATGTGGGACAGGAGGAGTGTCTAGTGAAGGAGTTTCTACCAGGGACCAAGGACACTAAGGAACAGGACACACTATAGAAGGAACAGGAAGAGCAACCGACAACATCAAAGAACCTTCTCACTTACGGTGATGCACTGGGTTTGTTGGGACAAGTGAAGGACTTTTGCCTTGATCATGGACTCTCCGTGTGGCAGAATTTGGCTGATGCTGAGGTTTAGCTGCAGGCCAAGGCAGTGCAGGTTAAATCAGCAGCCAAGCAAACAATGCTGGACTCTTTATTCAAGAAATGAACATTTTGTGTGTTTTTATCTTCTCACGTGAACTTTAAATACTGATCTATTTTAAATGTGACAATGCCTTTATTTTAATGAGATTGCAAAGTATGGTTGTTGAACGTTCATCACCCTTTTCCATTACCAATGCCCGAAACATTACGTCAGTGACCTGAATCACCTGAACTGTTTCAGTAATCAGGTCACTTCACCAAGTAGGTCACTTTTGCCCAGTCACTTGAGTGACTGCATTAGTGAGGTTCTGCTGTAGTTCCCACAGCTAATATGGATTCTGCCTCAACCACTGTGCCCAACAAGCACTCCACATCCTGACAAACGTTTGTGTAAAAGATATTCAACGGTTTACGTCAGAGGACTGGGGCAGAGTAAAGAAATATTTTCTTCCCCTGCCCTTAAATTAGTTTGTGATAATCTTAAATGTGTGCCCTCTTGTTTCTGCTTTACCAACCAGTGGAAGTAATCTATTACTACTTACCCCATCATAACTAGCTCTTATCAGTTGTCAAATGACCAACTGGTGACTGTCAATCTGGTGGGAGGAGATAAGTGGGATCTCCTGAGAGCTGAGCTGCCTCCAAGATGACATGTTTGGCAATGAAATCTCTGATTCAAGCCAACTCCAGGGCACTGCTGATAACAGACCAGTCAATCTGGCTCATCTGTAGGACTTGGAGGGACAGACCAGTCATTGGGAGCAGAGATTCTTTCCACTGAGTTCATGATCAAGTCGGGTGGTCCTAACCAGACAAGCTGCAAGCTAAAGCCTTAACAAGTAGGGTGGTCCTAGCTGGTCAAGTTACCAAACAGTGCTCTCAAAGGCAAGCTAATTCATTTTTTCAGCAGTACCCCAATGCCCATTCTGGAGTTCCCACACATTGGCTTTTGTCAACTTGCATCTAATACTCTCCGGAATTAGGTAAACAGGGTGCGTCACTCCAGGGAGAGAGAGAGTGTACTTTCCTTTCCAGATACGGAAAAATCTCCATTTATAGGTGGCATGTCCATGTGTCTGGTTTGGATACTCTTTAGCATAGTGATGTGATGACACCTAGCTGACCCAAAGTAAAATAATTCTTTGTGATCTTGAAGATTTCACACCAGATCCCCTCTTAACCTTCTCCACTCCAGTCAATAAAAGTCTTCAAATACCTAAATACAGAAGTCTTGCTTTCCACTTTAATTTGGATTGTGAACTTTGCACAATTGGTTTCAGAGGCAGAGCTAACGGTTGCAATATGAAACCATCAAAGCATAGTGCATATAAATACAACAATCAACTTGCATTTATATAACGTCATTCACGAAGGGGAGCATCCCAGAGTGCTTGACAGTGGCGGAGTCTGACCCCAGGCCAGAGGGAGAGGGAGGTGACCATAAGTACGATCAAAATGGAAGGTCTTTAGGTGAGATTTGAAAGTGGGGATGGAGGGGGCAAGGCAGAGGGATTGAGGGAGGAAGTTCCAGAGCTTCGGGTCGTAATGGTTGAAAGCGACTAAATAATAATGAACTGAGCAATAAAAAGAAAAACTCCAAAATACTGCAATTCTGAAATAAAAACATGAAAACAGAAAATGCTTCAAATGCACGGAGGGGGGATGGAATCAGTCTGTAGATAAACGACTCTTCATCTTCATCCCAACTGAAACAACTTCAGCATTTGCAGTCACTAAGAGAAAACCACTTACTGCCTCTTCTGCAACAGTCACTGAAATAAGATGTAAGAATGTGAATCAACATCAAATGACTTCTTAAAAATCAATGAACTAACAGCATAGACACATAGAGATCTACAGTACAGAAGGAGGCCATTCAGCCCAACGATTCTGCACCATCTCACAGAGCATGGGGATCATTTCAATCCCATCATCCCACCTTATCCATACCCCTCCAAGCCTGGCTGCGCTGTCATCAGAGTTTAGAGATGTGGACCACAACATAAGGACTAAACACAGCGGAATTTGTTACTACTAAAACATGCAATGAAAGCAACCATGCAGCAATTACACTAAATAGCCAATTATCTACTGCAGTTGCAACCTTTACACTGCAAAGAGAAATATCGTTCACATCAAAATAAGAAAAATACACAGGGAAAATAAAACACAAAGTCAGTTAGGCAGCAATGTAGAGAAAATATTTTCACACTCAATTTGTGGGTATTCCTTAAATCACTGCTAAACACAAGCAATGTGTTATGGAATAAGAAACTATATGATCCCTCGGGCATCATTAACCAGCCAGAAAAAGGATGGTGGGGGGGAGGGGGGTTTGAAACAAAGTCCAATAGCACTCCTGGCTCGACTGTCATCCAATGACTCCTGCTGCACAGTACATGTATATTGATTAGGGCGAGGATAGAATTATATTCAGCTTTCACTGTACTGTGAAACAGCCTGCAGACATTCAATGTGTAAACACATCATGTAGATTGGCTACGTGAGTGAAGTACTGGAAGCTTTTAGACCTGCATACTAGATGGATTGAACGTATTCAGGCGAGGAAGCCAGGAATAGAAGGGAATGAGAAAACTATAAAAAATGAACCTTACATTCATGCCACACCCTACCATTGCGCCTCCAACCTGGTCGTTAAATTCACTCAGCGAGCACCGGCCTATTTGTTCCACCTCACCATCGGCAGGCAGCCATCCCAGAGTCCCTCTGCCTCGCACCCTCCCTCCTCCCCTCTTTGAACCTAAGTCTCAAAACGTACCTCTTTGACCACGCTCTCAGGTATCTTTCCCTTCTCCAACCCCCAATTCAGGTGCTCTCCCAGCACTGAGAATGCGCTCTTGGACACAATATGAAATGGGTTATCTTAAATGTAAAGATTATACATTTCATTACGTTGTCTTTTTCGATCACAAAATAAGTTAAATATTCCAGAATTGCGGATTTCCACTAATACAAAATCAATATTGTGTCTACTGGATAGAACTACTCATTCAAACAAATTTCAAGAAAAACAATATCAGGAAATTTGTTCATAAAACTTCTCTGCAATGAACACTCACCTATCTGATGAAGAGTCTTCAGACGAAGAGCTATCTTCACTTTCCTTTACTTCATTTTCTTCCGCCTCAACCACACCAGCTTGCACAGTAACGAAAACGTGTGAAACGTCCGTGTCCTGCTCGGACTGTTGCCCCTCTGTATTAGCGCGGTTATGGCATGTCAGCAGTGAGTTTTCAAACGATAACGTCTCCAGTTGGGCAGATACGGTAACCTCCATCTCCTCATGCTCAGGCACCTGGCTCGGCAAAGGTGCATTGACACCCGTATCAGCACAATTCCCCGAAACGCTGATCTTGTCTGATTTAGCAAAGTCATTCCTATTCTCTTCAACAGTTTCGGATTGTGTGCAAGACATGTTGCCATTAATTTCACTTGAAGTGCACCGTGGAGAATGAACACCTAGCTGATGCTGAACTTGAGAATCTTGCTGTTTTGTCAAATTAGCAACAGAGGCTAATTCACCTTTGTGTGCCTGAGTGCACGATTCGGCTGCTGGCAGGTCTTCCTGTTCGGCAGCCACATTATTATTGCCTTCCATCAGCAAACTGCTTTCTAAGATAATTCCCTTCTCAACCGTGTCTGGCTGTGGAGATAGCTGGATATCTGCGTCAATCCCTTGTTCTGCCATTCTTCATCACCATCAAATCTTGGAAAACAAAAGTGTGGCAATTACAAACACATTCAAACAAGAAACAAACTGTTGCTTTATAAATAGTATTCACTGCAAAAAAAGGACCATCTTAAGCCCATGACAAAATAATCTTAGATATTTTGTAAAAATGCATGTCATCTTATAGTATCTCATTTTCCTAACCGAAGGCTAAAATGCAGGGCTTCGGCTGTAGTATCCATATTCTAAAATGGAATTATGCTATATATAGATACCATGGGAGATTCATACACAACCCATTTGCCCACAAAATAGTCACTCCACTTTACACCATATCCTATGAGGTGCTTCAAGACATCTCCTGACACGAACGGCACTAAATCAAACGCAAGGATCATTATTATTATTATTATTAAATAAGCAACATGCACTTATCTGTGTTTGCAATTAGAAGCACGAGGTGCGAGCATTGAGCAACTCTGTTTAACGTGGTTCTCTGGGTTGCCCTGTAATTCCATCATAGCTGGTACCAAATAGTAAATCACATGTAATGAGTGAATTGCATTGACAAAAAGGAAATGTAAGCTGTAGTGTCTGTGCAATTGTCGTCCAAAACTCAGCCAGACTATATTACCAAGATTTAAAAAATCAATTAAAAAACATTGAGATCCCATGACACTATTAGAAAAGTTTAAGTTTCTCCCTGTGACCGGACTACCAATTCTCCAGATAAAATTTGTTATTCATTTAATAATAATCCTTATATTTGGTGTTGCACCTTTCCAGTCAAGTGGACATCCATATACTGCATATACTGCATATACTGTATATACTGTATATACTGTAAAGCGGGGTTACTGGGTGTTTTTTGGGCGAACGCGGCAGACAATTTGCAAATCGCAATGTCCCATAAACAGCAATGGAGTGAATGACCAATTTTATTTGGGGGATTGTTGGCCAGGGAGAAAACTCCCTTCTCTTTACAAATTGTGCCATGGATCCACCTGATCAGGTAGACAGGACCTCAGTTTAATGCCTCATCCAAAGGATATTGTTGTGTGAAACTGGCTGCCATGTTGACCTACAAATATAAAATCTTGTGCAGTGCTTGGTGCTGTGGAATCAATGTAAAATGGGAATCTCATACAGACTGCTTCCAAACTCTAGCAAAATCAATTATAGCCTGATGAAGAATGAAAAGTTTGATAGAACCAGCAAACAGCAAGTGTGAGACATTGATTAAAAACTGTGTGGTCTTGCCAGTACGAGGCTCCTCAGACAATATTGCAGAACATTTCCTTGAAGCAGTTTATTTAAGACAGAAGACTTCCATCAGGATATCTTGATTGAACAACTGAACATTTACAGCTAGCAAACCAATGTTCCCTGACTGAGAATGAGATGAACTGGGCTGCATTGATTAACACTTTCATCACGAAATGGAACCCAACAAAATGCAAACATTTAGTAACAATCCCCAAATCAGAAGCAATGAGGACACTCCACTCAATACAAACTGGACCTGTGTGTATCTCTCTCTATATACTTCTCTCTGTGAATCACTGTCGCTCTCTCTCTCTGCACTCTCTCTCTCTCCCCGCATCTCTCTCTCTCTGCGTGTGTATTACACTATCTGTATCTCTCTTCCTCTTCACATCACTTTCTCTCTATATCGCTGTCTCTTTGTGTATATCACTCACTGTGACTATCACTCTCTATCTCTCTGTGTATCTCACTCTCTCCCTGTATCTCATTCTCTCGCTCTCTCTGTTTATCTCTCGCGCTCTCACTCACTTTTGCTCTGCGTGTCTTTCACTCTCTCTCTCTGTGTAGCTCAGCGGTTAGAGCACCCGCCTCGCAAGCGAGAGACCTGAGTTTGTTTCCCGGCAGGGTGAAATACTGGGCAAGTTTCCTTACTTCACACGCTTCCATTTACCTAGTAGTATGTATGTAGGAACCCGGTTGTTATTCGATTGGCAGATTGCTTTTCCAGGGATAATTCCTTAAAAAAAAATTGGTCACTTCAATTGTTTGTGGGACACTGCTGTGAGCAATTGGCTGCTGATCTCGCCCACAAAATATGCAGTCAATTCACTTTACAGTATGTTCTGTGACGAGTCTTGAGACGTATCGAAAATGTGATAAGACGCTATATCAAAAACAAGTATTATTATCTCACTCTCTCCCACTGTGTGTATCTCTATCTCACCGTGCATATCACTCTCTCTCTCTATCTCATCATGTGTTTCACTCATTCTCTTTCAGTGTGTTTCTCTCTCTCACTTTATGTATCACTCACACCTTCTCACACTGTATCACTCACTCAGTCACTCTCCCGCACCCTGTGTATCACTCTCTCTCTGCGTATCACTCAATCGCTCTCTCTCACACTGTGTGTGTGTCTACCTCCATGTAAGTGTACCTATCTCTGTGTGTGTGTGTGTCACTGTGTGTTTGTGTGTATCACTGTGTTTGTGTATCACTGTGTGTGTGTATATATCATAGTGTGTATCATTGTGTGTGTGTGTATCATTGTGTGTATCACTGTGTTTGTGTATCACTGTGTGTGTGTATATATCATAGTGTGTATCATTGTGTGTGTATCACTGGGTGTATCAATGAGTGTGTTATCACTGTGTGTGTATGTATCACTGTGTATGTATATATCGCTGTATGTGTAACTGTGTGTATAACTCTCACCTCTCACTGTGTGTGTATATCACTGTGTGTGCATAACTCTCACCTCTCATGTGTGTATGTGTATATCACTGTGTGTATATCATTGTATATCACAGAATGTCTGTCAGACATCAAATCCTAGATGAGAGCTAACTTTCTTCACATGAACAAGACCGAAGCTCTCCTGATTGACTGACAACATCACCATCCATGGTTGCACACTCCACCTTGCTAAGCCAGTCCAGAACTTTGGGGTCTTGTTTGACCCTCAACTATCCTTTCTACCCCACATCTGCGCCATGACCCGCTCTGCCTTCCCCCACCTCCGCAACGTTGCCCGGCTCCGACATTGTCTCTCACCGCAGGTCACCGAAACCCTCATACACGCCTTCATTACATCGAGGCTCGACTATGTAAACTCACTGCTTGTCGGCCTCTCCAACTCCTTCCTCCACAGGCTGCAGATCATCCAGAACTCTGCAGCCGGTGTCCTCTCCAGCACTAGGCTCCAGGACCCTATCACCCCCATCCTTGCCCAACTCCACTGGCTTCCCATCACACAGAGGATACAGTTCAAGATCCTGGTCCTCATCTTCAAAGCCCTCTACGGTCTCGCTCCCCCCTACTTCTGCGCCTCCTAACTCCTACCATCCTGTTCGCTTTCTCCGCTCAGTGTATTAATGTGTGTGTGTATCACTGTGTGTGTGTATATCACTGTGTGTACATGTGTATCATGTGTGTATGTATCACGTTGTGTGTATAACTCTCACCTCTCACTGTGTGTGTATCACTGTGTGTGTGTGTATCACAGTGTGTGTGTGTATCACTGTGTGTGTATCATGCTGTATGTGTATCACTATGTGTGTGTGTATATCAGTGTGTGTGTGTATCGCAGTGTGTGTGTAACTCTCACCTCTCACTAAGTGTGTATATCATTGTGTGTGTATATCAGTGTGTGCATTATTGTGTGTGTGTATCATGGTGTGTATCAGAGTGTATTAATGTGTGTGTGTATCACTGTGTGTGCATGTGTATCATGGTATGTGTGTATCCAGTGAGTGTGTATATCAGTGTGTGTTTGTGTATCATGGTGTTTGTGTATCACCCCTCACGCTGCTGAAACCCTGGTTTACGCCTTTATCACCTCAAGGTTGGACTATGGGAACTCTCTCCTCGCCGGCCTTCCCGGCACCTCCCTCCACAAGCTGCAGGTCATTCAGAACTCTGCAGCTCGTGTACTGTCCCGCACCAGGCTTCGGGACCACATCACTCCCACCCTCGCTCGCCTCCACTGGCTCCCATCCCCCAGAGGATTGATTTCAAGATCCTCATCCTCACCTACAAGGCCATTCACGGCCTCGCTCCCTCCTACCTCTCTGACCTACTATCCCCCTACCTACCTGCCCGTACCCTCCCTTCCTCTGGCTCCGGTCTGCTCCACGTCCCCGCCCCAATCGCCCTACCATCGGTGGTCGGGCCTTCAGCCTCTCAGCCCCCAGGCTCTGGAACTCCATCCCCCAGTGCCTTCGCCGCCTCCTCCCTTTCCTCCTTCAAGGCCGGTCTCAAAACCTTTCTCTTTGACCGAGCCTTCAGCTCCCCTCTCGACTCTCTTCCCCTCCTCGCTCCCTCCCTTCCCTCCCCTCACCCTGACCATTTCCCCCTGCTCGGGTCATGACCCAACTGTGCAGCGCCTTGGGACGTCCTCCTGACGTGAAAGGCGCTTTATAAATGGAATCTTGTTGTTGTTGTTGTTGTGTGTGTGTGTATCACTGTCTCGTGCAGTGTTCCTCAGGGCTCTGTCCTCGGACCCCTCCTCTTCACCCTCTACATGCTCCCCCTTAGTGACGTCATCTGCAGACATGGGGTAAATTTCCACATGTATGTGGATGACACCCAACTCTATCTCTCTGCCTCCACCCTCAACTTCAGGACTACTGGCGTCCTGACCGACTGCCTGTCCAACATCAAGTCCTGGATGAGGGACAACTTTCTCGAACTCAATGTAAGACCGAGGCCCTCCTGATTGGCTCACGCCAGCACCTCCGCACCTCAGGCGCTGGCAGCATCAGCCTCCACGGCTGCACCTCAACCTCACTAAGCCAGTCAGGAACCTGGGTATCTTGTTTGTCCCTGAACTGTCCTTTCTCTCCCATATTCGCACCATGACTGGCACTGCCTACCACCACCTCCGCAATATTGCCAGACTCCGCCACTGCCTCACCCCTCAGGCTGCCGAAACCCTCACCCACGCGTTCGTCACCTCACGGCTCGATTACAGGAACTCCCTCCTCATCGGCCTTCCCAACGCTTCCCTTCACAAACTGCAGATCATCCACGAGCTCTGCAGCTCGTGTACTCTCATGCAACAGGCTCCGTGACCCCATCACTCCCACCCTCGCCCGACCCCACTGGCTCCCCATCCCCCAGAGGATCGAGTTCAAGATCCTCGTCCTCACCTTTAAGGCCATCCATGGCCTTGCCCCCTTCTACCTCTCTGACCTGCTGACTCCCTACCAACCGGCCCACTCCCTCCATTCATCAGGCTCCGGTCTGCTCCATGTCTCCCGCCCGACCCGCTCTACCATCGGTGGCCGGGCTTTCAGCCTCTCTGCCCCCACACTCTGGAACTCCATCCCATGGTCCCTTCACCTCGCTTCCTCCCTTGCCTCCTTCAAGGCCGGTCTCAAGAACCTTATCTTTGATCGTGCCTTTGATCGCTCTCCCACCTCTCTGCCTTCCCTCTCCCCTACACCACCCCTCCCCCATGCTCGGGCCCCGACACCTGACTGTTCAGCGCTTTGGAAAGTCCTCCTGACGTGAAAGGCGCTCTATAAATGTAATTTTGTTGTTGTTGTTGTATCACGGTGTATGTGTATGTGTATTACGGTGTGTGTGTATATATATCACTGTATGTGTGTATATTAGTGTGTGTTTGTGTCTATCAGTGTGTGTGTATCACGGTATGTGTGTGTATATCAGTGTGTGTGTATCACAGTGTATGTGTGTGTGTATCACGTGTGTGTACATATATATCACTATGTGTGTGTGTGTATATCAACGTGTACATCATGGTGTATGTGTGTATCACAGTGTGTGTATAACTCTCACCTCTCACTGTGTGTGTGTATATCATTGTATGTGTATATCAATGTGTGCATTATTGTGTGTGTGTGTATCACAGTGTGTATGTATATCATTGAGTGTATGTATCACAGTGTGTGTGTATATCACTCCGTGTGTGTGTGTATCACGGTGTGTGTGTATATCACTCCGTGTGTGTGTATCACGGTGTGTGTATATCACTCCGTGTGTGTGTATCACGGTGTGTGTGTATATCACTGTGTATGTGTGTATATCACTGTGTGTGTGGGTATCAGTTTATGTGTGTATCAGTGTGTGAGTGTATCACAGTGTGTGTGTGTGTGTCACGGTGTGTGTGTGACGGTGTGTGTGTGGGTCTGTGTCACGGTGCATGTGTGTGTGTGTGGGTCTGTGTCACGGTGTGTGTGTGTGTGATGGTGTGTGTGTGTGTGTGATGGTGTGTGTGTGGGGGTCTATGTCATGGTGTGTGTGTGGGTCTGTGTCACGGTGTGTGTGTGTGACGGTGTGTGTGTGTGTGACGGTGTGTGTGGGTCTGTGTCACGGTGTGTGTGTGTGTGACGGTGTGTGTGTGACGGTGTGTGTGACGGTGTGTGTGTGTGTGATGGTGTGTGTGTGTATGACGGTGTGTGTGGGTCTGTGTGATGGTGTGTGTGTGTGTGTGTGACGGTGTGTGTGTGTGTGTGACGGTGTGTGTGTGGGTCTGTGTCACGGTGTGTGTGTGTGTGTGTGACGGTGTGTGTGGGTCTGTGTGACGGTGTGTGTGGGTCTGTGTGACGGTGTGTGTGTGTGTGTGTGTATGTGACGGTGTGTGTGTGTGACGGTGTGTGTGTGGGTCTGTGTGACGGTGTGTGTGTGGGTCTGTGTGACGGTGTGTGTGTGTGTGTAACACTCACCTCTCACGCGGTCGGTCCCGGTCCACACGCGGCGTCGCTCGGGGCGCACGTCGTAACGTCACACGCAAACGCCCCGTCACACAGGTGGTGGGAGGAGGCAGGAGGCGGCGCGCGCACCTCCCGCGTCACAGTGACGGCCTCGTTGCCGGCGCGCGGGGCCCGAGAGTGACGCGTACAGTGGGGGCCGCGCCTCCAGAGCACAGCACAGCGCAGCGGCCCTGTGCCCGGGGGGAGGGCACAGCACAGCGGCCCTGTGCCCGGGGGGAGGGGAGAGCACAGCACAGCGGCCCTGTGCCCGGGGGGAGGGCACAGCACAGCGGCCCTGTGCCGGGGGGGGGGGGAGGGGAGCAGCCGGAAACAGCACTGTGATTAACAGACAACAACAACAACGACATTACACTTGTAAATTGCCTTTCACGCCAAGAGGTTGTCCCGAGGCACAGACACACACACACACCGTGACACAGACCCCCACACACACCATCACACACACACACCGTGACACAGACCCCCACACACCGTCACACACACACACCGTGACACAGACCCCCACACACACACCGTGACACAGACCCCCACACACACACCGTGACACAGACCCCCACACACACCGTGACACAGACCCCCACACACACCATCACACACACACACCGTGACACACCCCCACACACACCGTCACACAGACCCCCACACACACACCGTGACACACCCCCACACACACCATCACACACATACCGTGACACAGACCCCCACACACACCGTCACACAGACCCCCACACACCGTCACACAGACCCCATCACACAGACCCCCACACACACCGTCACACAGACCCCCACACACCGTCACACAGACCCCATCACACAGACCCCCACACACACCGTCACACAGACCCACACACACCATCACACACACACACCGTGACACAGACCCCCACACACACACCGTGACACAGACCCCCACACACACCGTGACACAGACCCCCACACACACCATCACACACACACACCGTGACACACCCCCACACACACCGTCACACAGACCCCCACACACACACCGTGACACACCCCCACACACACCATCACACACATACCGTGACACAGACCCCCACACACACCGTCACACAGACCCCATCACACAGACCCCCACACACACCGTCACACAGACCCACACACACCATCACACACACACACCGTGACACAGACCCAAGGAGGACGCTGGGGTGTCAGGACCCGAGCATGGTGGGGGGGGGGGGTGGGTGTAGCGGGGCAGGGTTGGGATGAGGGAGGGCACGGAGCGGGCGGGGGAGGGAGGCCGAATGCATGGTCAAAAAGGAGGGTCTTGAGTCGTACCTTGAAGGAGGCGGGAGGGAGGGATGGAGGGAGCGAGGTGAAGGGATTGTGGAATGGAGTTCCAAAGCGTGGGGCCAGAGAGACCTGGAGCAGGCCAGAGCCCGCTGAACGGAGGGAGCGGACGAGCTAATTGGGGATCAGCAGGTCAGAGATGCAGGAGGAGGCGAGGCCAGGGAGGTCTTTAAAGTTGAGGACCAGGATCTTGAACTGTATCATCTGATGGGGAACCAGTGGGCGAGGGCGGGTGTGATGGGGTCACGGAGCCTGGTGCGGGAGAGGACACAAGCTGCAAAGTTCTGGATGATCTGCAGCTTGTGGATCGAAAAGTTGGGGAGGCCGGAAGGAGGGAGTTTCCGTCGTCAAGCCGCTGAAACGCTGGTCCATGCCTTTGTCACCTCTCGGCTGGACTATTCAAACGCCCTCCTCGCTGGTCTCCCATCCACTACCATCCATAAAATCCAACTCATTCAGAATTTAAACAATAATAAATTGGTCATTTTCAATCTACGACTGTTTGTGGGACATTGCTGTGCGCAATTGGCTGCCGCGTTCGCCCACAAATATACAGTCAATTCACTTTACAGTCTATTCTGTGAAGCGCTTTGGGACGTCCTCCCGACGTGAAAAGCGCTATATCAAATGCAAGGATTATTATTATTATTATTATTAACTGCAGCCGCAATTCTCACCCGCACGAAACTCCGCTTCCCGATCACCCCAGTCCTCGCCAGACTCCACTGGCTGCCTATCCCAGAGAGGATCGATTTCAAGATCCTCACCCTTGTCTTCAAATCCCTCCACTCCTCTGCACTCCCTTACCACTCTGACCTCTCTCCTCGGCACAGTACCCGTTGCCTTCGTTCCTCCGGGTCTGGCTCCTCCTTGTCCCCCAAGTCCTCCGCTCCATCCTCAGCGGCCTTGCCTTCAGCCACTATGCCCCGAGGCTCTGGAACTGCCTTCCTCACTCCCTTCGTCTTGCTCCCTCCCTTCCCATTTTCAGGTCTCTGCTGAAGACCTTTCTTCGACCGCGCCTTTGGTCACCTTCCCACCGCTCCCCCTGGCTCGGTCCCGGGATCCTAAACGTCCAGTGTGGAGGACGCTATATAAATCCAAGTTGTTGAGCTGACGAATGGGTGTATGAGGGTTTCAGCAGCCTGAGGGGTGAAGCAGTGGCAGAGACGGGCAATGTTGCGGAGGTGGGGGAAGGCAGAGCGGTTCATGGCACGGATGTGGAGTCCTGTAGCTCAGTAGTTAGAGAACTCGCCTCACAAGCAAGACTCCTGGGTTCGATTCCCAGGGTGAAACCTTGGGCAAGTTTCCTTACTCCACATGCCTGATAATAATCCCTCAAGAAAAAAAACAATAATAAATTGGTCACATTATTGCACGACTGTTTGTGGGACATTGCTGTGCGCAATTAGCTGCCGCATTTCGACCACAAATGAACAGTCAATTCACTTTACAGTATATTCTGTGAAGTGCTTTTGAGACTTCTAGAAGATGTGGAGAGTGCAATATCAAATGCAAGGATTATTATTCTATAGTGGAGAGAGGACAATTGAGGGTCGAACAAGACGTCTATGGGTGTTTTGGTGAAGTGTGCAACCATGGATGCTGATGTCGCCAGTGCCTGAGGTGCTGAGGCGCTGGTGTGAGCCAATCAGGAGGGCCTCAGACTTTCCTGACTTTCAGCTGTAGAAAGTTGGCTCTCATACAGGACTTAACATCAGACAGACAGTCTGTCAGGACGTCATTTGTCCTGGAATCGAGGGTGGAAGCAGAGACATAGAGTTGGGTGTCATCCACGTACATGTGGAAGTTGACCCCATGTCTGCAGATGACGCCACCAAGGAGGAGCATGTAGAGGTTGTAGAGGACAGTCAGAAGACAGGGATGGGTCCATGGAAGGTTTTTTCAGGATGGGGGTGATTGTAGCTGTTTTTCGGAGGAAGGGAACAGTGCCAGATGAAAGGGAGAAATTGATGGTGTTGGAGAGTAGAGGGGAGAGGAGGTACATGTCACCTTGGAGACGGTTTAGCTCCACGGAAAGCCAGCTTATCTCTACCCCAAGGAGAATAGTCACTAGTTGGTCAATCAACATTCAATAAGCGTGGGTTTGAGCCTTCACTAAGTGGATGGTAGGTACCATTCCATTGCTAAACATGTCACCTTGGAACCAATTCAGCTGTAACTAACCTCTACAATACATCCCCCCCCCACCACCACTTGCGGGTGTCCCGGTGGGCACACGATGCTTACTCCTCTGTGCAGCATATTTTGGTAGTTTTATGTAAGCCAGGCAAAGTTTTTAAATGAGCAGAGGCTTTTTGCGCCCCCAAGAATTATAGCTGACAATCCTGAGCCCTTTCAGGGTGCCAGTACTCCACCTTTCACCGTGGTTATTCAGCTCCTTCCAGTCTGGAATCGGTGCTAAAATTACACCCTAGTCCAGTGTTGGCCAACCTCTTTGGTTGACCAACAAAATAAATGTTCATTGATTGAATATTTCTTAATTTGTGGCATAAATCTATGCTATCTTGCTATTTCTCTGATCGTTTTGTTGGCCCCACTGCTAGCCTGATTATAAACCACAAGATTGTCTGAAGCCCAGTTGTCTCATGCACACAGGTTATCTGCAGGAACGTGCTCTCAGGAACCAAATGGTAAAAACAGTCTGTTTCGCAGGCTATCAACACTGAAGAAATGTTTGTGCTGAAATTTACAACACAGTGTAAGACAAAATCCGCATCTAAAAAGAATTTAAATACCTTTTAAGGCTGATATGCATTAAATGTGGGCTACAACTATGAGTGAGGTGACAGGTTTGACTTTAGTCCAAAATCTTGGTTTTCCCTAAATGCAGCTCCAATCTGTCAGCAGCTCCAATCTGTCTGCAACTAGAGCTAGGGCCAAAAGGATAGTTCAGCTAGGGCGAGAACTGTCCCCCAAGGCACTTGTTGGGCAACAAAGCCACTCACTGATCTCCTAGCTGCCAGGGAAGTAAGATAGCAGAGAAGCACCATGTTCAGATGTTATCTTTCCTGCAGATATGTGTGGTCAGGAAGATAGACTGAAGTTGCCGCTGGGTCAGAAGTCAAAGTTCCAGCTGGACTCAGAGATGGGCACCAGGGAAGGTTCCGAGGGAAATCTGCGGTTTTCGGAAATGCCCCAAAGTAGTCAAAACACAAAGCTTGAGCTAGCCTAATTGCAACTGAGGGTGAGGTGAGTTGAATTGCTGAAACTAAACAATGGGTTTATTTATTGCCTTTCTCTGAATTACAGTATGTGCTAATTACCACGTTTAATTTCATTAAACATGGAGTCCTGTAGCTCAGTGGTTAGAGCACTCGCTTTGCAAGTGAGAGACCTGAGTTCAATTCCAGACAGGGCGAAACCTTGGGCAAGTTTCCTTATTCCACACAGAGCCTAATAATAATCCCTCCAAAACCAAAAACAATAATAATAAATTGGTCATTTTCAATCTACGACTGTTTGTGGGACATTGCTGTGCGCAATTGGCTGCTGCGTTCGCCCACAAATATACAGTCAATTCACTTTACAGTGTGTTCTGTGAAGCGCTTTGGGACGTCCTCCCGACGTGAAAAGCGCTATATCAAATGCAAGGATTATTATTATTATAAATGAAAAATTCTTCTAATCCTCGACTGCCTACATTAAAGATTTATCAATGAAAAGTTCGCATTTTATATTTCAGTTCAGTTCCTTCTCTTT